GACGGGTACGAGTGCAAGTGCAACAGCGGAAAGAGCATCGGAGGACACCAGCCCCGTCTTATAACCTTTAGTGAAAACAAGGATCAGCAAGCGGCCGCTGACCAGACACGCCGGATGAGGCTCTGTCCTTGCACCAGGTAACGACCTCCAGCATAAGGGGGCGTGTTCCTCAGTTGCCCGTTTGGCCGGCGTGGGGGTTCAGATCAAGCACGTATGCAGCCACCGGGGAGCATCCGGAGCGCCTCCATGCAAAAGGCAGATGGAAATTGCGCCACGGGAATAGCGTGGCATGTTTCGGGCCAGTTGAGCGTCTGATGTGATCACGGGAACGCTCCCGGTATATCACACATGCGCATACAAGCCACGCTGACTGACCGCTGTGCCCCGGGGTACACCGTGCATACCCTCACCGACAAATAGGGGCCGAAAGGACTTGGCGACATCGTTTCAGTTGTCAACCGTCCAAAGCAATGACCATGTCTGACGCCATACAATGAATGAAAAGGGTATATCGAGGTACTGGAGAAGATGGCTTGGTGCTGCTAACATTATGGAACTCTTGAGTAATAATGTAACGCGCTTGTGACGCTTCCTGATGATCGGAAGCAAATTCGGCAATTGGAAATGGAGAAAGTTCCAAGGCCCGGGGGGAAACCAGGGAAATGTTGCACAAACGGCAAGAGGGCAAACTTGGAAAGCACAAAGCCGGCTGAGGCCGGGTCTCCGTCAGTCGAAGCTTCCCAGCTTGACCCCCACGCTCGGGCAAAAGCTAAGATAGCGCTTGCCCTTGCCGCCAATAACATCCATCCCCGCTCTTCGAGAAAAGCTGCAGGGGCAAATTCCGACGACCTTCTGCATGCAAGCCTTGCCCAATCGTGGCCGATCCTTTGCACTCGTTTCTTTGGTCGCTCGGAAGGTGCACGATTCCCACGATCCCAAATCCCCCCAATCTGTCCCCACCCAATTCCGGCAATCTGGTCGTCTGCGGGGGGTGAGAAGCGAGAGCAACCCTCTTGCATCCGGAGGCTCAACTGACCCGCGTCCAGACGACACTGGCTGCAATGACAGTCGAACTGCTTGCTTCACCGCCGAACTGGCCCAAGACACCTACTTACAAGCATGGCCACATGGTCCGCGAGTTACAACATGGCAACTGTCATTGTTCCATCCCTCGTCGGTCCAAATTTCCACACGGAGATTGTTGCGGAAAGAAACGACGATCCCTTGCATGAAGCCCCTCTCACGTGAGCATAGTCAACGCTCCATCGGATCCCGCGGGGGGGTGGGACGATGCGAGCTTCCCCATGTTTTCTAACCTCTTCCGGCTTCGCTATCGACAACTCGCTTCGTTTCTCGACAGGCCATCCAGGTTCACACCACTTATTTCTCACCACCGACTGCGTATGGTAAAGCCGGCCAGCCCCTTCTCGTGTCCTAAAAGTTCCAGAACCCCATTGGTTCCGGATGGCCTTGTGATCAGGGAGGCCTCTCGTTGTTGTTGTTTACGCTTAACGTTTAGGGTGCGGCCACACAGTGGTCAGAAGCCTACTCGGCTTGTAGGACTTGCCGAGCTAGGTCATGCGTACATACAAATTTTTGTCCCACCGAGACAGCATCTCGAGTGCGGAGCGCATCTTTCAACGTGCCACTACTAGGTTGCCTTTAACAATGTGCCCCTTAACTTATCAGGATTACAAGCCTGACTGTCCCATGGACTGAGGGTTGAATTCCCGGATCGCGGCGTCGGTTGTGTCGTTGCGTCCCCTGCACATAACCCCAACCCTTCCATGCGCCTCCTTTCTTCCTCAACATCTCAGCTACGAAACACAACCAACATCACCAAGGTGGAGGGGCATAGATAGTTAAGAAGGACAAGCTTTTACCGCATCTTATGATTCACTTGTTAGGGATGTGTTCGCCAGTCCTAATAACGTCTGTAAGAGACTGGGACTTACTGCAAGGAATTAAGGACTTCACCCCGGGCTCGAGTATAATTGGATGGTTACGGGTAACCATTATGCTACAACGACTTCCCCAGTCTGGTGGATCGCTCGGATATGGTTCTCGATCGTCGCTTTGCCGCTTTGGTTGGCCCGGCTCACCCCGCCGTGGCCGCATCCGCAACATCCCCAACCATTCACCCTCTCATGACCGAGGCCTGGGTCCGCGACAGGGCCGGGCAGAGTAAAGATTTGGGGTGATAACCAGTCTTGAAAGTTGCCTTGAATCTTATTGGGGAGGTTGTACTTTTGTGTGGCCCGGGCTGCCACCTCGTTCACCATGTGACGAACCTACTCCAGGATCCTATCCTGCTAGGGTTCAGTGAAGGTAATCTTGCAAAGGATGCTTCGGTTCGGTGCAGCCAAAGGGTGCACAACAATAGACTTGTCTCAACAGTAGGCGTGTGAGCTTGTAGCGAACTGTAGTTGTGATTGCTAACTGGAGAACTCCCAGAGCTCTCCAGCATGAGTGACTATATACCTATTGTACATGAGAGTGTCATCGTACCTTGACGCGGGCTGCCTGGTGCTATGTTGCTAAGTGCTATGTCTGGTCTTAGCATCATAGCACCATAGCACTCGGCATCCCGGCTTCTCTTTCCCTTGATCCGATTGGTCGGTCTAGCGATTGGCTCGGATGTCCTGCGCCTCCCGAGCCCCGTCTGTTGGCATATTCGTGACACACCACCTGTGAATTGTTCATGCATCTGGTTAGATGCCTTGTGATGTTCCTAGTAGTGCCTTGCAACAGGTCGTGGCACCAGTGGCAGAACACTAAGGTCCATCTTCCCAACTCCAAGACGTGAATGTCCTCTTCTCTCGTAATCGGCATGTTGGGTTGAAGGATTATACATGCCTGGACGGTTCCGTTGCTTAGCGCTCGGTGAGGGTTAGGTGCCGGGAAGGAGACCGGCATGTAGGATTTGGGATCGAAGCAGCCGTCCTCAACACAATTTGGATTTGAGATCACTGATCTGCCAGATCCAGCCATCCCGCCAGACCATCACAGCTCGGCATCCCTCGCAGGGCTGAACTCGGCCTTGTTCGTGCAAATCCCAACACCCTTGAAAAAAACAAAAGCAAACTAACCACTCCTCCTCGAATCCTCCTTCCCACTGCTCTTCACTGGGTCAACAAAACGTGAACGGTCATCAACGAGAGCAACAAGTGATGAAATTACAAAAAAAAAAAAAAGCAAACCACCCCACTACTCCTCCATCACACGCTTTAACCTTGTTAGTATAGATTCGAGACTTGTTAGAACACAGTGAACTTACATCTTCACTCTCCGAAGAGGGGGGAGGGCTGGCGGCGGGGAGGTTGGTAGCGGTGGTGGTCGCTAGGGTTGTGGTAGTGGGGGCTGGGGGGACGGTGTCGGCGGCGGGGGTGGTCGGCGGGTGAGGGGGGGAGCACGGCCTGCGGCCTTCTTCTTGGCCCGCTGGGCCGCTTTTCTAGCCCTTCGTTTCTAAGTCCCTCAAGCATTAGTCTATGAACACCTATAGAAATAATATGTACTTGCGTTGGTCTTGTTGGCGCTCGGCGCGCCACTCGTCCCCATGAGGACCCGAGCAAAACTAGCGGCTGCGGCGGCGGCATGACGACACCAATTGATTACCGGTCGACCACTCGGGAGCGCTCAATGCGCGGCAAAGAAGAAGACAGACGGTGGAATATAAAAAAGAGCAGGAAGTTTATTAATGGATGTTTAAATCATGTTAATTAAAGGAAGTTAAAAGAAAAAAAAGGCGCTAAACCAGAGTACGGCGAGGTGGTGCGTGATGGGTACCCACGGGGGGTTAATTCGTGGCAAAGAAAAAAAGAAGAGGAAGAGGAGAGAATGGTTTTTTGACAATCAATATGTTTTAACGTGGCCCGACATCGAATTGTGCGCGTTCAAGTTGCTATAGATAGAAGGAGCTCTGGGAGCCGCGTCACACACCCATGGAAGGAGCTCTTGAGCCCACTGCGCTGGACAGCGCCCAGAAGCGTCCCGTGTTCCCAGGTTCAAGACACCCGCGAGTCTCGCACCCTCTACTGTCAGGAGTACGCCGGAAGCATACCTATTCTCCAGTTGCCCTCTCGTTTCATCTGATGCTAGATTCCCGAATCTATCTTTGGGTAGTCAAGTTCCGAGACAGTAGTCTCAGCCGAAACATGGCAACCAAGGTCTGTAGTGGTTCGACGATTGCCATTACTACTGAAGGCGCTGGGGAGGCAGACTCGACCTGCCGCCTCCATTTTGGGACTCACTGTTCATCATGGTGGGGTGGGTGACTTATGGAATGCCATGTGACACTGGGACGAAAACTTCTTCGTGCTTTTCCGTCCTTTGCCCAATTGGCACGCCGTCATCGGGTAGATTTCACACGGGTCAACTCATTCTCCGCCAGCCTCAACAAATTCTAGTGAATTGTCTTCGCGAGTGGAGCCGCACGTGCTGCACTAGATGCCCGCGGAGGGTGAAGCGCGCGAAGGACAAACCAGATTAGCGCGGAGGGTGAATTTGACACGCGAGGAAGTCGGCCCGCCCTTCGCGGACATTTTACTCGCCTTTTGAAAACCCGCAAGGCCCTTTACATTAACAATTACGGGATTTCTCTTTAGTATTTAGAGATGGTATAGGTCCTGTGACGAGCGAGCGAGGAATAGAGGCACAAAGGCTCAAATGATCCCACTCAATTACGTGAATCTAAAGCTAAAGAGAAGAAAAGAAAAGAATCAAGATACAAGATTCGCACAACTGTGGGAAAACACAGGTGGGAGGCGCACAGACCACCACTCGGGTTGCGGCCAGGGTTAGGGTTAGAACCTGCCGTCACACATACCTACTAAAAGAAAAGCACTCTACCTACATGCCAAGCCTTTTTTACCTGCATGCCAAGCTGGTCAAAGCGTACAACACCATATGTGGTCTTGTTCGGATATATCTCGTCGAATTCACTTCCTAGAGGCTCAGGAATATAATCTTCCCAATAGGAAGCTGCTATTAATCCAATCTACGGCCGTGTGGCGTAATGGTAGCGTGTGGTCCTCCTATTAATCAGAAGGATTCAGACTGAGGTTGTGGGTTCGAGTCCCACCATGGTCGGCCGAATTTTTTAGATGTTTATTTATCTACTTTTTTTTCTTCTTTTATCCCATCTCTCTAACTAGGCTAGGAACTATACTTACTAACTACTATATGAGACTGCTAATTGAACATAGTAACAAGGTGCTGGGACTCTACTGGACTCGATCTTTGAGAGACTCCGTAAGGATTAATTCCTCTTTTCTCAAGGAGTTTTGTTTTTCCATAGATTTCCAAGATGTCACGAATATGCCAACAGGTGGAACCTCGGGAGCGCGGGACGCCCCGAGCCAGTTATTCAGCGGACCAATCCGGAGGACGGAAGGGTGATCAGTGAGCTCAGCCGCTAAGAAGACTGAGCACACTGAGCACCACAATTGGGTCACCAATCAGGAAGCGCGAACTGGTCTAAGTGATCAGTGTGATCAGTATCTGGGTAGACTGAGCACACTGAGCACCATGGAAGTAGACAAGTATATAGTCACTCGTTCTGGAGAGCTCTGGGAGTTCTCCAGTTAGCAATCACAACTACAGTTCGCTACAAGCTCACAAGCCTACTGTTGAGACAAGTCTATTGTTGTGCACCCCTTGGCTGCACCGAACCTAAGCATCCTCGAGAGATTACCTTCAACGAAGCTGAACCCTAACAGGATAGGATCCTGAAGTAGGTTCGTCACACAAGATTACATAACTCAGAGACTATACTGGGCTTGCTTCTTCTTATTTGACGATATCTACCTTTAGATTCAGTATCTAGTTAACCATCTCTTCCACTAACGATGCTCGGCTATTACTAGCTCGTAGTAATTTCTAGCCCTAGGCTTAGCTTAATGTCATGAATGACCATAAGGGCGGCCAGGGAGGCTGCAGGCGGAGGCGCGGGACGCGCCGACAGCCAATCGCTTAAGGACCCAATCGAAGGGAAATCACTGCCAAGAAGGGATTATCACTAGTGAAGTAAGGACCTCACTGGTGATAATGACGGTTCACCAGCGACATGGGAATGTCACCAGTGAACACCTTGGGTGGACGGTGATAACAGTATGTATATAGTCACTCGTCCTGGAGAGCTCTGGGAGTTCTCCAGTTAGCAATCACAACTACAGTTTGCTACAAGCTCGCAAGCCTACTGTTGAGACAAGTCTATTGTTGTGCACCTTTTGGCTGCACCGAACCGAAGCATCCTCGAGAGATTACCTTCAACGAAGCTGAACCCTAACAGGATAGGATCCTGGGACAGGTTCGTCACACTTAATTGCTTACTTCCCCTACTAGCTCGAGTTTCACATCATCAGCTGCAATGGCTTTGCTCATTTAGTTATCTAGCTACCTTAACTACATTACAGGTGCCGAGGTGTGAGTGTAAGCGGGAGTGGGAGTTGTAGGTGTAAGTAACTTCCAAAACTCTCAGCTCCCGACACAACACTACCTTACCATACATTACCACTTGTAACACTACAACTAGCCTAAAAGCAAGCCTGTGTTTATAATTTTTCTTAACCACTATGATTGCTTTTATCACAGTTTCACAGTACGGTCAATGATCACCTAGGGTCAGCAGTAATGGGTAGTCACTTTTAAGGTTCGGTCCCACATGCATGATGCCGCGGCCCGCGCGGTCGCGGTGGACCGCCCCTTCCTCAAAGAGAACGTACCTAGATAGCGTTCGCGCGGACTTCCCCGACGACGACGAAATATTTGCAAAGGCGGCGCTGGTTATCGATAACTTCTAGAGCTCAATAATTTTCGACAAAGCAGGGAACCCGAACTCCTTCGCGCACATTAGACGGATGATATCGAGTTGCACCAAGACAGCCAACGACTCCCTCCGGAACGGGATAAACACGAAAAACAAGCCCCCAGCACGCAGGAAGTTCTCGCGCTCCAGTACTGCTCCCCAAAGGGAGAAAGCAGCAGCTCCATCATAAGCAACCTTGCAGAGATGGGCCTGGCCCACCTGATGGACGCGAGTACCGACGCCCCAGCTACGCATCACAACCAACACCACTAAGGTGGAGGGGCATAGATACTTAAGAAGGACAAGCCTTTACCACATCTTCGATGATTGGCGACTTGATCGGGTGGGACTCGAACCCACAACCTCAGTCTGAGATCCTTCTGATTAATAGGAGGACCACACGCTACACGACGTCGCAATTGCGGGACAGCAATTGCACGTTGTATTGTCACACCCCCCAGATCGAGACCGCCAGACGAGATCTGAACAACGAGTCAAATCCCCTTCTCCTGTCTTCCCCCGCCCTTTTCCCGCGGAAAGTGGACGTTCTAAAAACGTCCACTTCCGGAATTGCGACGTCGTTTTGGCGACATCGCTGGTTTAGCAAGGAGGTTGGTAAGTTCGCGATTTTGCAACGCTAATCTCACAACGACTCAACTATTCTAGCAGAGATGGCTAGCGATGAGGGGGGATTAGAGGAGGCCGCGACGGTGAAGGTATGCCATCGATGATTTCCCGCCACCGTCACCTTTTTGCTAACGCTTCTCTTAGCGCAGGCGACGACTCGGATCAAGGACCTCAAGCGGCAGCATTTCCTTCTTTGCAGGCCGAGATCAATTAAATTCCGGCGAGGACACACAGCGCATTGTTCCAGCAACACCAAGTGAACAGTCTACACGGACAATCAGAATGCAGCGATCCATACGCCGCAATGAATCGCAGTGGGGGGGCATCAACATCGAAGAGCCGGATACAAACGCGGCTGTTGCCCATAACGGGCCAGCCGGCATCACAGATCACACGTACAGGCAGGGCGAGGAAGGCGGCGTGGGTGCAATGTAGGGTGCCTTGGAAGAGGGTTGATGAGAGCTACGTGCTGACAAAAGAAAAGGTTGTGTAAACCTCGATTTTGTTGCGTTTTGAGCAAGTTACTCGGTGATGGATTAAGCTGCGTCGTTGGTCGAGTTCAGTTGCGTCCACGGTGACAGGTTGGGGGGTAGGGTGTGCACCAGGACTGGAGTTATGCATGGTGGAAGTCATAGGTGCACAGAATCGGAAGTGCATGTCAGGATTGTGATGAATTTGGATGTCTTGCGGTTCTGTATGAGATCGTGGGATACAGCAAGGTAATCCACGACCTATCGCGAACAGGACCTGATGTTGAAGGGTGCGAGCCTCACGAACGCCTTAAAGAACACGGGACCGTCTGGGACGCTGTCCGGCGTGAGGCCGGCCTCGGGAGCTCCTTCCGTCGGCAACAGTAGCTCCTGCCATCTATAGCCATTCGAAACGCACAATTCGAAGTGGGATCAGGTTAATATATACAGACTGTCAAAAATCCATTCTCTCCTCTTTCTCTTGCTTCTTCTTTGCCGCGCATGAAGCCTTCTCTCGTGGGTACCCATCACGCCCCGCCTCGCCGTGCTCTGGTTTACTGACTATTGCTGTTTTAACATCATCTAGGCATTAGAAACGCACATCCCACCTTTTTTCGTATGTCCCACCGTCTATCCTAGCCAGTATTTGACTGTTTGCTAATCAGGAATATCAGAAAAGAGTACAAACAGCAGTAAGCGCTTCCTGGCAGTCAACCGGTGATTGATTGGTGCTAACCATGTTTGATAGTGCCAGCCCTATTCGATAATCTGACTCCCCGGGCGGCCGCTGCTGCGGCAGCCAGCTTCGCTCGTGTCCTTGTCGGCAGTGGTGGCGCGCCTAGCGCCAACAAAGCCGCCGTAAGTACAGGTCATTTCGACACGTGTTCATAGACTAATGTCCGAGGTATTTAGAACCGGCGAGCTAGAAAAGCGGCCCAGAGGGCCAGAAAGAGAGCCGCCCGGGCCGCCGCCCAGGCTGTGGCCGTGGCCCCCGCCGCCGCCTGCTCCGAGCCGGTCGCCCCCCGGTCCCCCCCTCCCGCCGCCGACACCCCCGCCGCCAACACCGCTCCCCCGGCCCCCGCCGCCAACACCGCCCCCCCGGCCCCCGCCACCCCAACCATCCCCCCCGCCGACGCGTCCCCCCCTCTTCGGAGCGTGAAGATGTAAGTTCACTTCATTCTAACAAGTTTCGAATCTATTCTAATACGGTTAAAGCGAGTAATGAAGGGATAGCTTAGTTTGCCTTGTTTTTTTTCTTGTTTTTTTTAGAAATTTAAGGACCTGTTGCTCCCGCGTGATGGTGTCCGTTTACATTTTGTTGGCCGAGTGTGTGAGACATCCGATGCAGTTGATCTTCAGGATGCTCGTTCCTACAAGCTGCCAAGATTGGCCGCCTGGCGGCTCGAGATCACAATCACAGCGTATACCGCGTACAAGACTCGAAATGCGAGGGGTAGTATGCCTACGTTGTTACCGACAAATACTATGGTCTCAAAGACTGGAGAAGTGGAGATCCGAGAGGGCCGAGTAGGAGAACCCATCACCAAGCCTCTTACAGCTGGCTAGTCTTACGATCCCGCCTTAAAGCAGCCCGATATTGCTGTAACACTGACTGGGAAGCAGTTTAGAACCTGCTCCAGAGTTCTTCCTACAGTAGATGAAGACGCTCATGGCATGATCTAAGGGGGGCGGCGACGGCGAAAGTATGTCATTGCTTATTTCCCGTCATCACCACACACATTTCAGATCTGTTAACGCTTCTGTTAGCATTATCCTCGACGTGCCTCATCGCCAACTGGGCAGCCCGTGTCGCGAAACACCAAAGCAAGCAATCACCGCCACCTCCGGCTAAGTGTCTGTTGAACAACGAGTATGACCACTGTGCTGGTGGAGGTCAAATGGAGGGAAAGGAATCTTCAATTACACGTTGGTCTTTCTTTCGCTTCATACGCCTCCCTATACACTGCCTGACGGAGGCTCTAACACTGGAAACAGGCCCCCGCGGGGGATCCCGTGGGAACGGCGTCTCTCTCGATACATTTCACCGCCTACAACATCAACACGAATACCACATCGCCCTTATTCACTCGGGTCGATCATCACAATAGCCGCATTCCCGCCCGTCCTCCCGACAGCCACGTACAGCAACCCAGCATCCTGCGTCCGCCTTCCAAACACAGCCACCG